AATATCCAAGTTCCATCAGAAAAGAGAAAAACTACATCCAGCCTCCTTAAAAGTAACATTTATATTAAAAAAAAGTGTCTTTTAGCTAAAGGCTCGCACACCGAAGATTTAACTTGCTAATTGGCCTGGCTGCTTACCTGTGATGTAAAAAAATGTCCTGTCCCTCCTCCCCCCTTCTCTTTTTTTTTTTCATTTTCTTGGCAATGCGCAAGAGTTTTTGCGAATTGCGAGCAGGCTGTCACTAGTAGTAGTTCAGCAGGGGCATTTTCTCGCCTGCCGCGAGCAGGTGTGAGGCCTCGAGCTGCTGGAGTTCTAACACTGATAATGAGTTACCAGACCTCTTGTTGACAGGCGAAGAAATGCTCAGTCACAGGCATATTGCGCAGGCTTGCTTGCAGGCTACGAACTGTGGTACTACATTCGCATTCAGGTTATTGAATACTTTTATTAAGGCAGCGTCCGCAGTCCATGCTCACCACATTTAAAGACAGTTTTCGAACGATTATTTTACTCTTTGAGTACTAAAATCGAGGAGTGTGGTTAATGTTTTACATACATCCTTTTAATTGCGGATATAAATCTTAGGCTTCTCATTCAGATATTCTCCATTCGGTCTTTACAGGAATAGCCGCAAATTGTACTGTGTTTACCTATTTTAGCAGTTTACATAATACCATTCGACCAGATCACTCAAATATCTTATGGAAAGAGCTGGCAATGAGACCCCTTTTCTTACCTTTGGTACCTGAGTACAAAGTACTTCACTGTCAACTGACAAGTAACGAACCGAATAGCCTTTTAAAAAGCCACTTGAATCTATGAATTTAGAACAAAGTATTAGTGAGAGTATCATTTAAATTAAGAACAAGCAGGACAATTATTCAGACTACCAAAATTGTTAGCAAGCTTAGAGCAAAATTTTGAGAAATATATCACTAGGGGAATAAAGCTGTTTGGGGTTGAAAAGTCTTAGTGGCTATGCTTATGCGTAATTTCAAACAAACCATCAATTTTTTGCCATGTGATAATTTGCCGCAGACGACAACTGCCGATTTACTATGATGAAGTACATCATATTTGTGGTTTTCAAATCATTATTAACTGAACCGGTCTTCGAATAGCACCTTTTCCCCGCGCTGTTGCACGTTCTAATACCTTTCACTCCAAGAAATTGAGATAGCTTTGAGAAATACCTCATACTAATACCAGAGATCAAAACACCACTCGCCCATTGCTAATCAAAAGCGGGTTCTCAACTACCTTCAATTTATCCAAGAGTTTTAGTAAAACACTTAATTTTGTCAACAGTGACATATATGAGATCTATAGCTAACTTTGTGTAAATATATATCTACTGGTAACAACCCCACTTTTTTAGCAATTTTCTGGTACGCTGATTAGGTTGACAAAAACCACATGCGAAGTTACACGGCCCCGCTATAATAAATGGATCTTAGAGTTCAGGGGCCAAGGCTCATAATTGTTTTTCGCCTTTTTGTATGTTTGCTTCTGTTAGTTTTTTCCCTCGTTTTTGCTGAATGTGTTGTTTGGTATGATAAAGGACAGACAACAACCAGTTACACACCATTAATTGGACTCCAAGATACGTCTGCATACCAGTTGTCTGTGTTATCATACTGTCCAAATTTTACGGCCACATTGGATGCAAGCTGTTTTTCAGGTGCAGGCGAACTCTCATCTGCCCTGCTAGGACACCCTAAAATAAAAGCTAACCTTAAGTACAAAAAACAACTGGTGTATTGAGAAACAGCGATCCTGACAGGAGAACGTCTTAGTGCCAGACCCTTCACAGACACCTTGCAGGCTTGGTTCACAAGCCTGCTCAGGTCTCGCGGGCTTCGCCGCTCGCCCCACGCCCCACAACCAGCTTACACAGCCTGCGACGAAGAAATATCCCTTCCTCCTGAGCCAAGTTAATCAAAATCAGGCGCGCTAAATTTAATTCTCTGAAAAGCTCGTTGCAGGATTCATAGCTAATGGCGACTGTCGTTTTTAGCTTAAAAGAAAACTAACGTTATTCTTAACCTTAGCTTGAAGAGAACTTGGGGATATTTTCCTGGCTGAATGGAATTTTAAATTTTTTTGGGAATTTCTACAAACTGTTTGAGTTCTCACGTCATAACAATGCTCGTTGCGAGACAAAGCAGATATCAGACAGACTTACCTCCAAGAGAACGCCGTCGACGTTTTTCAAGGTCTGAAAAAAAGAAATAAAACGAATTCAGATACAAAAAGGCCTTTCCTTTTGAATAAAAGAGTTTCTTCTTCTTTCGAAGGAAAACCACAGGAACTTTAAGACTGACTTGCTTATAACTTAGGTATGAGAAGAAGCTGTAAATGATTTTAGCAGACAGCAGATTCAACTGAATGTACAGCTTTCTTAGAACTACTGTTTTAATCCAATCTTGGATGCTTTTCATTTTCAATCGTCAATGTCAATTTGGTATATATCTCCCGTCGTTACTGTTCATTCTTGCGTTAATCATCATTCCCTTGATCTCATAACCAAAGGTACGAAAGCAATTTTTTTTTCTGAAATAACAATCTCGTATTTCTTTATGATAGCTTTATTTCTGGGTATCAAAAGTAGTCACATGTGATAGACGAAAACATTGTATTATTACATTATTTTTTCAACTTAGTAAGTATCAGATACCTTTCCTCCTTCTTAGACACTGATTGCAGGAGGGAGATAATCTGGTCTGAAAAAAATAAAAACCATAGAGATAAATATATTTCTTTTTAAAGGATTACACCCATGTCACAAGGAAGTATTTTGGGCTCCTTGCTGTTTCTGACTTTCATCAATGACCTCCCACAAGTGATCTCAAACTCTACTGTGGATGTTTATGCCGATGATATTACCTTTTCCTCTAGTGCTCATTGTACTCTGGGGACAACAGCAGTTGAAGCAAAACTTCAGGAGGACATTGACAGTCTTTGCGCATGGTCTACTCAAAATCGCATGGTCTTAAATGCCGGGAAAACCAAATCTATTCTGGTAACTGGCAAGCGTCTCAAGTCACGTGTAGCTGACCCTAGTTTGAAGTTGCAAGCAAATGGAACAGCTATCGAGCAAGTTATACATCAGAAACTGCTTGGGGTTACAATTGATCAAGAACTAACTTTTAAGGAACATGTAGATAAACTTTGTAAGAAGCTTAGCAAAAAAATTGGCCTACTGAAAAAGTTGTGTACTTATTTACCCATTGAGGAAAGATTACTCTTCTATAATGCCCTTATTAAGCCGGTCATGATGTATGGTAGTATAGTTTGGACCTATTGTTCTAAGGAAGATCTCATGAGAGTGTTTCGGTTGCAGAAACGTGCAGCGCGTGTAATATTAGGTACAGGTATCAGATCAAGAACTGTGGAAAATTTTAAGAAACTAAATTGGATCCCATTCTNAGGAAGGTCTTTCCAAGTTAGTAGTATTAAGTTATGGAATAGTCTTCCAAATGAGCTTAGGAAACAACGTAGCATCTCCTCTTTTAGGAATGATTTGATGAATTATTTTATAAATTCTTATAGAGACATTGATTCTTTTGAAGCTGTATTATAATCTAGTTTTATTGTATTCATAATCTTTGAATAGTTACATTGTTCGACTAGTTAGTTCTTTTTTAATCTCTATGGCTTAGAATGTATTACTTACTAACTTTAGTTTTGAGGGCCTCTGGTTTATCAGCGCAAGCTGTTATGTGTATACCCTCTTTAAATAAAGTCGATTATTTATCATTATTATTATGTATGTCAAAGCTTTTAAAATTGTAATTAAGATGATTGTGACAAACCACAATTCGTCTGCCACAATTTTTTGAAAACAAGACGAAAAACATGGAGGGGTTGGATTAAGACGTTATGACCTATTTTTGTCGACAGATGTGTTGATTATAACTATGAAAAAGAAAAATCGTTGTTTTAATCGACAGAACTCTGCAGAAACTCTGATCATAACTACGCTTTCTGCTTGGCTGACGAGATCGTTACCGAATACTTCATACGTGCATGTTGATTGACAAGGTGGAGAACGTTACAAGTTCACTTTCGAGGATAACTGGAAGATTTTTGCTGAAAAAATAAAAAACATAAGTCGTACATCTAGAGACAAAATTGTATTGTTCACCTTCTAATTGCTTATTGGCTAATCTCCATATAATTAAGATGACAGCTCAAAACGCTCCTACATTTCTGTGATATCTGCGTGACTAAAATTCGACTTCATATATGAATTTACATCGATAAATCTTATCTTCGTCCTTAACCTGCATTTCATGGATTTACTCCAATATGTGTTTGTTTAGCTCCATCAGCTGGATGGAGAAAGCTTTAATTCACTCTAATTGATTGAACTGAAAAATAGGACGACCTTTGGATTATAAAGCAGGCTAATGTGGTTATTTCTAAAAAAAAAAAAACAAAAACAAAAACATTGATAGAGGCTTTCAATTCAAAAGTTTCAAATCAAGCAGAAAACGCAAAAATAGCCATTCCAAATTAACATAGATTAAAGACTAGTAATCATTTCCGTAGGAATAGTGCCTTTGTTCCATATATAATGCTTTCAATACGATCGTGTTGTTTACTGTCCCCTCTAGGACAAGGAACAAACCCTAAAAACTAAGAGATAAGAATACTAAATATGTTAACATAAGTAACGTAACCAATTGCAAAGAAGCAATGCGGGAAAAACCGAAAACCAACTCAGACACCAAATCCGAAAATCCATCAGTATTTTTAACGAAAGCTGAAAACCAAACGCTAAAAAGCGGAAAATACGCAAATCGTAATGAATATCAAAACCGAAAAACCGAAGTTCTTTTTAGCATAAAAACCGCAAAACCGAAACTCCCAATTGTCACAAATCAAAACTAGTCTTACTTTTCCAATCAAAATTTACGAGGTAGAGTATCATCAAACTCGTGGTTCTAATGCACATTTGGTAAAGATTAACTGCTTTTCAATAGGCTAACCTTGACTGTTACAAAAAGAATCGAATGAAGAAAGAAATTATTTGCATGTTGTTGACCACAATTGTTAACTTGTCACGTATCAAGCGTTGTTTAAATTCTTTCTGCTTTGTTATTATAATAAAACCGTAATTAGTCTTACTCGTGGCAGCTTGAGGCGAAAAATATTCTGTTTCAATAAACTGACCGCAAAAGACTGAAAATACAATTAACACAAAAGAAAAAAAAAAAGAAAACTGATAACACGATAACAAACTAATGCCTTTCCCACACGCATGCGCTCTTGAACCCCAGATCGCGTGACGTTCACAAAGAGCGTTTAAGGCGGCTCACAATAGTTTTAGGACTGGGTTCTAGCTGCGTGGTGATTGAGCTAGTAACAGTTACCAAGAAAGTGTAAGAAAAATTATTATTTTGTTTTATTGAATCCCTCAAATGTAAAAGTGCTAGAAAACCTAAAAACTATTGTGAGCCACCTTAAGATCGAAATTGACGGCATATTTTCCTTTGTGCGGGCGGTGCCCAACATGCAAACATTGGCTTGAACCGGAATTGTTTCAGTCTCTGGTCCAAACCTGATGTATCGTTGAATTGATGACTGCAATCTATTGATTTCAGTAGATCAAATGATTTCGTGTTTATCGCCTGGCACAGGCTTCTTTTTTTCTTCGTTCTTTTTTTTTTTTTTTACTTATTTTTTTTTTTCGATGTCAGTGTTAATGTCAATTCTAATATGACGATCATGAAAAGCGAAAGAAAGAAAATTTTTAAAAATCAGTCCTTAAATTTAGCCTGCCCCAACAATTTTCACAGGTTAAGAATATTTTCCAAGCTAATGTCCCTGGAAGGGACAAAAAAAATAAATTGTACGAGAATATTTTGTGGTCGAACGCTAATTTATTCTCCTTTCGTTTTTACTCTTGCCAGTACAAACAAACAGTTAGCTCTTAATAATCCGGTTTGCTTCCTATAACGTAATTGATCACTAACTCTATAAATGTTATCTTTATTCCAAGACAACCTAGAGACCCCGAGACTGAAAGTATTTCAGTGGTGCTAACTTCATTAAAATATATATTTCGGGACACACTTCGTTTCGCAATTCCTTCAGTTAACCTTGCTGTAATTTCAAGTTTAGTCAGATTTCACAAGAGGCTCATAATTGCCTCCAGGGCAATAAACAAAGACCGAAGAGAACTACGGAAATGCACGAAGGAACACGAATAAAACGTTTTCGCTAATTTGCAATCATTAACGCAAGAACGATTTCTCAGGTATTAAAGATTTTAGTCCAACTCCAAAGAAACTTCGAAAGAGAGGGAGATAGGATAAATTCATCACGGTCCACATCTTGATTTCACGTCCATCGAAAATTAGTTTGCTTGAATGCTACTTGAATGTAGCTCTGTACTTTGCAAATTAGTATGAATAGATATAATTATATGCCCAGTCAGCGAAAATATATTTTTACAATAAAGCAATCACGTAACAAAAATTGTACTCCAAGTAACAAAGCGAAAACAAAGGTCTTTCATTGCACAATCATAAGGGAAAAGCATATTAAAAAACTCAGAGCGACGTGATTGTGCAATATAGCAGTTATCACCTGGTGCTACATTGACTTCATTGACCTGTAATATGTATAATCAAGCAAACCATGTTGAATCTTTTTTTTTAGCTAGTTTTGCAAGGGAGATCATTCTCTCAATTTCTTTTACATCACCATGTCTTGCAGCTAAATCGAAAATTAGTGACATTTATGAAATATTTTCCTTGCCACACTTTAAATTAAACAAAGGCCTCCAGTACGAAATCGTCTACGGTCGATTTCTTAAGTCCAATTCGCAAAGGCAAAAGTCCTGGATATTTTGATATCATAACGGTAATTGTTGTCGAATATCAATTGCTCACAATTTAGTTCATCAATTATTTTGCTTGTATACAAATATTAGAAATTTGCGGCAGCCACAACTCTACCTCGAACATTCAAGCGGATTTCGCGGTTAAAGTCCATTACTTTGAAAATGTTGCGTTCTCAGCCAACGGCGGAGTTGCACCAAAACATGGAAATTTCGATATAAATAGAAGAGAAAGAGATAACCCACCTGATCTCGCTTTGTCAAAGTTTTCTGTTCGTCCGAGCCGCAGGCTCGAAGGCACCTTGCTGGCTTCTGTTTGCTATGTTCCAAACATTCGATAAATGCTCCTACGATAATGAGCGCTCCTAAAGCAACTACAATGGTTTTTGCAAGCATGGAGTCTATTGTTACTCTTAAAAGACTAGCTACACTGGGTAAAGGGCGCGTCCACCAAGAAGCAACGCACGTCGTCTTGAGTAGAGAAGCTAAACAGCTCCATAAATCAAGGTCGATTTGTCTCGACTTGCTTTTTTGTGATGCAGATTTAAACAGCACTAAGACTTGTTGTTTCGGTTCGTCTAAAGTTCACGCCTGGATAAATCTGTCACTTTTCACATTATTTTCAACGTTAAATGAAATTGTTTCATTCTCTTTTTGTATTTTTTGTTTTTTGTTTTTTATTACTGTTTCAAGCACTATACTCAGACATAGTATACTGCTGAAACGAACGTTAAGTGCTCTCACAGAACTTTCCTATTCATTTTTCTCGGGGAAATTCAAGAAAGGGGACGTAAGTCAACAAATCTCTGTCATCTCCCTGTTGTTTGCCGAGGGGAATGTCATACATTTCCAAATAATTGTGGGGGATAAGAAAGTCAGCTGACATTCAAGACAGAGTGCATAATAAGGGGAATGTTGCCAATATTAATGACCGGAAAACCAAACCTTGATGATTCCAAACGAAACACATTTATTTAGTTAGTTATCTAATAAATCCATTTTATTTAAATAAGTTGATTTAGTTTGCAGAAGAGCTGATACTGTATTCCGGTGGTGAAAATGTAAAGTCGCACTCAGTACTGATGGCATGAGTTCTCTCTTGATCCAGTGTCTCACTTGAGTGGCACGGTCGAGAAGTGTTGAGTCAGTTGAAATGATAACCAACTCGTTTTGATTCCAAGGGCCAATTTTCCGATCAGAACGCAGTTAACTGCAGCTTCGTGAATTCCAGCGCTAAGAAACGTCTGGCCAAGGGTAAGCGATTGCAAAGATTTTTATAGTTTTAAATTTGTCAATCAAAGCTGTGTTGAGAACCAGCAAAGGTTCACATAGCTTCCAAAATGAAATAAATGTCATTACATTGTTGTTCGTGAGAGTGGGTTGATGCTCCATGTTCGCAATTGTATCAATTCTCGATAACTACTTCGTTGACTGGTTCTAACACGGATACTTCGGTATCATTGTTTTCTGTGCTTCTCAGATGGCTGTATCTGTGAGGAATCCCGAGGAATTCAAGGAGCTTTCTTTTCCAGTGGGTTCTTTCACGATCACTGCCATAGTCGATCACACTTCTTGTTTGCAAATCTTCGGGTAGCAATCCTAAATCTGCGTCATCAATTCTTATAATAACTAGACTATCGTCATTTCTGCTGAGAAGCCTTTGCTTTGCTAGATTTAGTTCATACCCGCAAAATCTACTATTCAAAAAGTTCCACGAGTAAACTACTATATTTTTATAACTTCTGTAAACGCTATCCGACATCAGATCATAAATCATACCACCAGCTCTGAAGTCTCTGTGGTGGATTCGGCATCTTAACTGATGCTGTCGTTCAAGGAGAAGTAGAAGCCTTTCCTCCACCCATGTATAGTCATCACAATTAAAAATCATGAATACATCGTACTCATAATTTTCAGGTCCAGGATCTGAAAATGATGAACGACAAAATTGTTAACGCGCGAAGGAGTTTTTATGCAAAAAAAACTGTAGATTCCCAGAACTGTAAGTGTTACCGACGAGGATAAAAATGTGAAATATTAAAACTATTAAAAAATTTGGGCAGCGTTCACACGTAAATGAATCCGAGGCATTTTCAAGATTTACAATTTACCAAACACAGCTTATGAAGGCTAACCCTTTTCTATCATATATTATTTATAACTACTCACAAAATAGTTTGACCATGTGTGCTGTTTTTGGTAATAAAGAAATTGTCTCAAAGTTCAAGAAAATCTAAAAGCTCAAGTCTACTAAGAAGGACACATTCGACTGAAGTAGTGAAAGAGGATCTACTGAGTTGGTCGCCCCTCTAAGAGATATTATTGGTAATCTGTATTGAAAAACAAATACAAACCATTAGATGGACGGCCATTTTCAGATTTCCAGTGTTGTAGACAGATTCTAATAAATTGTTTATGGCAAACAGCAGCCAGTACTACTGCCAAGACACCAGCTATGGCACCAACGGAAATGGACACATATTTCAAGGTTATGTCAAAGCCTGATTAAAAATGAGTGATTTTTGTTACCATAACAGTTCAGCACCAGTTCTCAAAAATAGTAACAAATTTAACAAAAAAGTGCCTCAAAGTGTTTTTGAAAAATTTTAGGAAGTCCATTGTGATAATATCTTTCCTTCTCACTTGTCACATGAATATTTGAGTAACTTACTGGTAGTGTCTGCAAGATGACGCTAAACTTAGTCCAAGGAATGGGTGATAAATAAGTCGTCACAGCCCCCATGAGTATCTACTCAATCGTTCACAGAATATATCCCTGAACCCCGGCATATACTCTCCCTGCACTCAGTCGACGCCGAAATAATTTACTTGGGGATCAGTCATTATTTGTCGCTTAGCGGGCTCGGAGGATTTTGGTTGTAGCTTTAAAATTTACCTGATATCCTATGAGGCTGTGTCATATTCTTTTAACTCTTCTCATTGGCAGTTAATCAACAGTCAATTTCTATGGTCTCTTCTTTACATTCTGTTGGCGACGACGTTCCCCCTGGAAACCATGTGAACCTCCCCCAAAAATCCTTCTCACCTCTCCTCCCCCACCCCCGCCCTACAGCGGTCATGAATAAGTGGTCCGTCAAGACGTTAGTTATAATAAACCACACAAAGGCCAGGCTCTGTCCTACCAAAGTTCCAGTGCTCGTGTGATGAAAAAGTTCGAAGAAATGTAACAGGCAAGCCGAACTAACGATAAACTTGCTTTGGAAAGATCAGCACCTCACCGTTTGTTGTTGTCCTTGGTGTTGATTCTTTTTCGGTTGTTGATACTTTGGCAGTTGTGGATGATTTTGTTGTTATTACAACTGATGTAACAGGCAAGCCGAACTAAAGATAAAATTGCTTTTAAAAGATCAGAGCCTCACCGTTTGTTGTTGTCCTTGGTGTTGATTCTTTTTCGGTTGTTGATACTTTGGC